CTCTTCAACTATGCAAAATTCCTCGGCATTGAGGTGTGCAAGAGGACGAAGCCGAGGCGTCACATAGTAAAGACCTCTCGTTTCGACAGCATTCAAATAAAATTCGTGCCCTGGAAAAACCGAAAGTATCGAAACCAAGTTTTTGAAAAAATACAATCTAGCAAATATTTCGAAATTTATTCGCCATAAATTCAGTAAAGAGGGCTTACCCTGCCGGAAATAAACCACTTCGTCCTCAAGTTGTGCCACATATGGAAAGCGAAGAGGCTGAGTTAGGCGCATCCATCGCGGAAAGTCAACTTTGGCTTCATCATCACTGTCATCCGGGAATGCAGCTGATGAGGGCTGTTCAGAAAACGGGGAATCAGAAACGCTCGATGCATTGTCATCAATGAATGAAATTAATTCAGAGACATTCAAAGGAGCTGCTTTGACATTTGATGGACCTGGCTGATCGTCCGCATAATCGGTTGGCAAAAATGTTGATCGACTGGATTCACAGTTCGCCACAGACGACTCACGGAGTGGAAGATTGCCATCCTCCACCTCCTCCTCTTCCTCCTCTGAAAACGAATCTTCAGCTTTCGCACCAGTTAAGAACAAACCACCCACTAATCTCATTACATTTCTCTATTCAGCACTATCCTCTCTACTTCGCCTAATAATTCGTCGTGACAAAAATGGAAATATTTCTACAAAACTTTCGAAAATCATACCTGTAATCACAATTCTCTGTCGTCTTCTTCGTGTTCTAGGAGGCGTAACGGAAGTATTTCGTCTTCTGGCATCAACTCCATTTTCCAATTCAGTTCTCCTCCGCCGCCGATTCTATAAGTTAACTTCATCAGAGCAGCAAAAGCACCAAAAAAATCCCATGCATTCAGAATCTCTCCCCGAGTAATCAACTCCAGTTAAAAACTCCTTTTTTCTTCGATTTTCAACAGAATTAAGCTTATGTTTACCGCGCTTCTTCGAGTAGTGATAACATAATCACTATCACTATCATCATCACTGGAAACATCGTCACTTGATGCGTCCCGGTCACTCGCAGAATCAGAAGTGAACGATGAGTCAGTAACGGAATCGTCTGATACGTCGACTTCGTCAGTGTCATCTACTGCCGACTGATTACGCAGTCTGCGTTGCCGATGAGGGAAACACTCGGACCAGCAAACCGCTGAAATCACAAAAATACTTTTGAGGCGCAACGAC